ACACACACACACACACACACACACACACACACACACACACACACACAGTGGTAAAGAAGGAGAGAAAGCCAGATAGGTACTGGGGTATCCCTGACCTGTGAGTGTGAGGAGCTCATCATCCCTTCCCACCAGAGCAGGCTGCACCCTCAAATCTAGTGAGAATATCTGTGAGCTGATATTCTCAAGTATTCCATCACAGCAATGAGAAAAAGTAGAACACTTAACTATTCTATTACAGGGACCAGAAATACTAGGGAAGAGCTGACCACAAAAAATTCTATCAAAGGAACTGGAGAGATGGCTCAGAGGTCCTGAGTTCAATTCCCAGGAACCACATGGTGGCTCACAACCATCTGTAATGAGATCTGGTGCCCTCTTCTGGCATAAAAGCATACATGTAGGCAGACACTGTATACATACTAAATAAATAAGTCTTTTAAAAATTCTATCTAAATCTCCTGGGTGGTGGTGGCTCAAGCTTTTAATCCCAGCCAAAAATCTCTGTGTTCAAGGCCATCCTGGTGTACAGAGTGAGTTCCAGGACAGCCAAGACTGTTTCAAACAGAAACCCTATCTCAAAAATAAATAAACAAACAAATAAACAAAAATAAAGAAACAGCCAGGATCATTTCACAGAGAAACTCTATCTCAAAAAACAGGAAGTAGGGAGGGAGGGAGGGAAAAAGGGAGGGAGAAAGAATTCTGTCTAAATCTATTTCCAAATAAAATCCAAACACTGTGGCTAGGACAGCAATAGCCCAGTTGAAAGTATAACTAGTTGGCTATCCTCACTTGCCCTTCTTACTGCATAGGATCCAAAGACTTGTATAGCCAATGCAATGTATAGCAATGCAATGCTGACTGTGGAAAACACTAACAATACCGGCACTGATGAAGTTCCAGGGAGCGTGGGTGGGAGGGTCTCTAGCCATACAGTTCTTAACTGAGGAGAGAGAACTCTCAGTTGGGACACGTCAACAACTAAAAAAGGCACATCCCACGTGTGTGAATGGCCAGACCCGTGTCAGGACCCTTCACCAGTCCTTCAGACAGCAGAATGCAGGACAAGAAAAAGCTACTTCTACTTTCACTCTAAGTTAGAATCTGATCTTTAATGGATGATCACACTACTCATAAATTTAAACAGTCAACAAAGTTGGGGATGTCCAAGCTATTAAATACCTTCCCAGCTTGGAAGAACTGCCTGCTTGTGTTGCATATACCTCAGTGAGTATCTCAAATGTCAGGGGGCTCTTAAAGAAGGCTTACCTGGGGAAGACACATGTTGTCATCTCCTTAAACTCATTCAGGTCCTAAATGGCAAAAGGATGCCCCGTTACTGTCTTTCAAACAGACCAAAGTATTGTTAAGAACACAAATGAACAGCTCTCGGCTCTTTTCTCAACTATTAACTGCCATGTCTCACATGGGCTTCAAGCTAAAGAGCAATTCCACTTCTAACTAAAAATTATTTATTAGAAGTTGGAGAGATAGCCGGGCGGTGGTAGTGCACGCCTTTAGTCCCAGCATTTGGGAGGCAGATTCAGGCGGATCTCTGTGAGTTCAATGTCAGCCTGGTCTACAAGAGCTAGTTCCAGGACATGCACTAAAGTCACAGAGAAACCCTGTCTCGAAAAACAATATACAGATAGATAGATAGATAGATAGATAGATAGATAGATAGATAGATAGATAGATAAGAAGTTGGAGAGATGACTCCAAGGTGAAGAGCACTTACTGCTCTTGCAGAGGACCCAGGTTAGGTTCCCAGAACCCACATGGTTTCTCACAACCACCCATAAACTCTATTCCAGGAGATTTAATGCCCTATTCTGACCTCTTCAGGCACTAGGCACACACGGTACACATACATACATATATGCAGGCAAGACATTACAAACATATTACTTTCTAAAATAAAACCTGAGACTTGGTACCTGCTGTCAAAACTGACAATATGAGTTCAACACTAGGACTCACATGACAGAAGACTAACTTTTGTAAGTTGTCCTCTGCCACATGTGTAAGAGCGCGCGCGCACACGCACACACACACACACACACACACAAATTTTTTAATTAAGAAAGACAGGGAAAGTAAGATGGCTTGGCAGGTTAAAGGTACCAGACAGATGCCAAGCCTGACAACCTGAATTTGATCAGAGATCCATATGGGTAAGAAGGAACCAACTCTCACAATTGGGTCTGACCTCCACAGACACACCTCAGCAACACACACATATACACAGAAAGCAAGCAAAATTAAAATTTTAATGTAATAAAAACTAAATGAATAAAAATGGATTTAGGAATATCTCTCATTTTTCACTGGGAATTATATGACTTGGATAAGTAATTTCATTACTAAAAAATTCTATAGTTGAACTAAAAAAAGTGGTTCTGTCATATGTAAAGTACTACTGACTTGAGAGACGGCCATACCCCAGGGTACAGGGGTATGGCCATTAACACACAGACCTTGCAGCATGCTCTAAGTACTCAGAAAATTACTAATGTGGCACTAACTCTAAGTGCCTATATTAGACTATTCATTTCATGGGTTTATTTTGATCAGGAATTCTAGAGCAGAAATGAGAGTCCTTTGGTTCTGAATTAGCTCATCTACACACATAATTGTCATGCTATCCTGGGTAGTTACAATCCTGACCCTTTGTAAACTACACTTCTTCTCAAGTCATTCATGCTTCTCAACAGCTGCTGTTTAACCAATGAACAAAATATGAACAAGTAGTTCAAAGGCTAAGTCAACCAAAAAAATGCCCTAATGACCATTGTTAACCTTTCAACACCACTAAAAGGTTTTATAAGCAAGAGCAAAGTAGATTTAAGGCTACCACCAGGGCAAACAAAGAATTATGGGCCAACATCTACAAGGTCATGGTCAAGCAGCAAAAGGACCCATTAAAAACTCTCTCCTAAATGCCAAGACATGTGTGTGTGCATAAAATGTGTATATAGAATGTGAGCACAAGCCTGCCTCAGTGCATGTATGGAAGTCAAAGACAATTTCTAATTCAGCCTTCTCTCTCCACCATGTTTGGGCCAGATTCTCTCGTTGACTATACACTAGGCTGTCTTGCCCACAAGCTTTGGGAGTTTTGCCTGTCTCCACCTCTCATCTTGTAGTAGAATTCTGGATTACAGATAAGTTACTGCGATTAGCTTTACATTTACATCTTAAAAATAGGGTGCCAGGAGCTAGAGAAGGCTCAGTTAAGAACACTAGCTGCTCTTCCAGAAGATGGGTTCATTCCCAGAACCCACATGGAAGCTCAGAACTGTCTGTAACCAGGGGATCCAATGCCTTCTTCTGGCTTCTGTGGGTACCAGGCATTAAAGTGGCGCACAGACATACATTCAGGCTGTAGTGGTTTGAATGAGAATGACACTCAAGGTTCATATATTTGAATGTTTGGTCCACAGTTAAATTAATGTTTAGTCCACAGTTGGATTAAATGTTGGAAAATGTGTGTCACTGGGGTTTGAGGTTTCAAAAATCAACTCCAGTCCCATTAGCTGCTTGTTGCCAGGAGATCTTTTTTTTTAATATTAATATTTATTGAGCTCTACATTTTTCTCTGCTACCCTCCCTGCCTCTCCCCTCCCCACTTAATCCTCCCCCAAGGTCCCCATGCTCCCAATTTACTCAGGAGATCTTGTCTTTTTCTACTTTCTACTTCCCATGTAGATTAGATCTATGTAAGTCTCTTTTAGTGTCCTCATTGTTGTCTAAGTTCTCTGGGATTGTGGTTTGTAGGCTGGCTTTCCTTGCTTTATGTTTAAAAACCACCTAAGAGTGAGTACATGTGATAATTGTCTTTCTGTGTCTGGGTTACCTCACTCAAAATAATGTTTTCTAGCTCCATCCATTTTCCTGCAAAATTCAAGATGTCATTTTTTTTCTGCTGTGTAGTACTCCATTGTTTAAATGTACCACATTTTCCTTATCCGTTCTTCAGTCAAGGGGCATTTAGGTTGTTTCCAGGTTCTGGCTATGACAAACAAAGCTGCTATGAACATAGTTGACCACATGTCCTTGTGGCATGATTGAGCATCCTTTGGATATATACCCAAAAGTGGTATTACTGGGTCTTGAGGAAGACTGTTTCCTAATTTTCTGAGAAATATCCACACTGACATCAAAAGGGGATGTACCAGCTTGCATTTCCACCAACAATGCAGAAATGTTCCCCTTTCCTCACAACCTCTCCAGCATAAGTTGTCATCAGTGTTTTTAATCTTGGCCATTCATTCTTACAGATGTAAGATGGAATCTCAGAGTTGTTTTGATTTGCATTTCTCTGATGACTAAAGATGTTGAACATTTCCTTAAGTGTCTTTCACCCATTTTAGATTCCTCTGTTGAGAGTTCTCTGTTTAGGTCTGTACTCCATTTTTTTTATTGGATTATGTGATCTTTTGGTGTCCAATTTCTTGAGTTCTTTGTATATTTTGGAGATCAGATCTCTGCCTGATGTGGGGTTAGTGAAGATCTTTTCCCATTCTGTAGACTGTCGTTTTGTCTTGTTGACCGTGTCCTTTGCTTTACAGAAGCTTTTCAGTTTCTGGAGGTCCCATTTATTAATTGTTTCTCTCAGTGTCTGTGCTGCTGGAATTATATTTAGGAAGTCGTTCCCTGTGCCAATGCGTACAAGTGTACTTCCCACTTTCTCTTCTATCAGGTTCAGTGTGGCTGGCTTTATGTTGAGGTCTTTGATCCATTTGGATTTGAGTTTTGTGCATGGTGGATAGATATGGGTCTATTTTGATTCTTCTACATGTTGATATCCAGTTATGTCAGCATCACTTGTTAAATATGCTTTCTTTTTTCTATTTGATTTTTTTGCTTCTTTATCAAAAATCAGGTGTTCGAAGATGTATGGATTGATATCCGGGTCTTCTATTCGATTCCATTGATCCTCCTGTCTGTTCTTATGCCAATACCAGACTGTTTTCAGTACTGTAGCTCTGTAGTAGAGTTTGAAGTCAGGGATTGTGATGCCTCCAGAAGTTCTTTTATTGCATAGGATTGTTTTGATTATCCTGGGTTTTTTGCTTTTCCATCTGAAGTTGAGTACTGTTCTTTCAAGGTCTTTGAAGAATTTTCCTGGGATTTTGCTGGGCATTGCATTGAATCTGCTGTCAGGAGATCTTGACATAAAGTCCTCAGCTACTACTCCAGAGCCATATCTGCTTGCTCCCAACCATGAAGATCATGAACTCACCCTGTGAAGCTGTAATAAGCCCCTAATTGTAGGGCCCCGGTCTACCCTTGCTTCTGGGGTGCATCTTGAGGACAGTTTCTGGTCAGCCAGCTAAACATCCTGTTTGTTCCTGTGCTCCCTCTGCCTTGCCTGGTGATTAGCTGTAGGGCATTGTTTCATCTTTGGTATGGTAATTTCCCACCTGCCTGGGTGGAAATCCTTGTGCAGCGGCTAGGTATATAAGGATTTCCCCGAAATTGAATAAACGGCATTCAGCTGATCTCCTTTCGAATGACCCAGGTCTCTTGTGTGTTCTTTCAATCTCCAGGCCCTTGCCCGACTCGCAGACGGTACAGTGGCGCCCGAACTGTACCGAGGGGGTAACACAGAATCGGGTGTTACACCTAATGAAATGCTTCCTTTCCTAATGAAGCCCCTAATGTAGCTGCTTTGGTCATCCTTTCTCTTCACAGCAACAGAACAGAAACTAAGAAAAAGGCAAAACAAATATGCTGGCTGGTCTCATGTCACCTTGACACACAAGCTAGAGTTATCTGAAAGGTGGGAAACTCAATTGAGAAGATGCCTCTATAATATCCAGCTGTAAGCATTTTCTTAATCAGTGACTGATGGGGAAGGGCCCAGCCCATTGTGGGTGGTGCCATCCCTGAGCTGGTGATCCTAGGTTCTATAAGCAGGCTGAACAAGCCTTGAAGAGCAGCCAGTAAGCAGATCCCCTCCATGGCCTCTGCATCAGACCCTGTCACCAAGTTCTTGCTGTCCTGATTTCCTTTGATGTTTTGCAACAGTGCTGAAGTGTAACCCTTTCCTCCCCAACTTGCTTTTTAGTCATGGTGTTTTGTCAAAGCAACAGAAACCCTAACTAAGACAACATCCATACACAAAAAATAAAATAAATGTTTTTAAACTAAAATATGGTACCAGCAAATGCAAATGTTCTAGCATCTTCAATAGATTGTCACCTATTGCTCTAATCATTTTTTCCATAGCTAAATAAAGGATGAATTTTCTTTCTCTGATAATGCAGGGAGAAAAGGTTGTGTGTGTGTGCGCGTGCGTGTGATCACCTCATGTTCCTTGGTGAGATAAAACTGCACCATAATACAAATCACCGGCTTTCTGGTAGAATTTTAATTGGTCTAATCTCATGCAAGTTCACATTTTCAGAGCACACATATACCAGGTGAATCCTTAGATCTAATCATGTAGAATTGGTTGTACCTCGTAACCCAGAACAAAACATAGGCACCATCGAGGTACCAAATCCCTGGAGGGTTTGCCACAGAACAGTCGGATTTCAGCGAAGCAGCAGGCAAAGAACTGTGTGGCAGGAAAGGGTAAGTGAAGCTGCAGACTGCACACATGCAGCAAAAGTACAGTAGAGCAGGCAGGAATAATCATGCACCCACACCACAGGCATACCAAAACACAAAGCATTTAGGAAACACGTCAGCCTGGCTTGGGAACACGGAGTCTCACAGAGACTGGATTATATAGTCAATAAGATACAGCCTGACAGGCCAGCTCTAAAGAGTCGACTACATGCAGAAACAAACAATGTGAGATTACCTGGAAATTTTAGGCACGGACAGTTATGTGAAGAGAGACACACAGAAGTCAGAAGATACACATTTGTTAAGTCAGAATTGAATGCCGTCATGAGTCTGCCTCTGTCTGATATTCAGAACACCCAGAGCACAACACTAAATATGCTCCCTCATCCTTTTTGTTAACTTCATTGCTTTAAAGTCAGGAACGGAGCTGCTCCGTTGGTCTCCCTGGCCAGAGAAAAATGAATTACTGAAACAACCATGAGCTCTTTAGATAGAAAATGCAAATATATGATCATCATTTTTGCTGGAACCCTTACATCTTAGAGGATGATGGGTCTGTCATGGAAGTAATGACAACCTTAAGAGCAAAGTCCTAGGGTGAGGACCAACAGACCCACTGTGCACTGCCCTCCACCAAAAGATTATCAAGGGATTATGGGGCCACGTGACCGAGGAAACATCAAGAGAGGTGGCAGATGTGGAAATGAGATCAAATTCTTATCCAAGACCAAACCATCCAAGAACCAGCAAAACAGAAGTCCAACCTCAAGCAGGGGCTGGACCAGGAGATGAGGAGCAGATTGTAATCCTAGCGCTTGGAACTAAGAGTTCAAAACCAGTCTGGGCTACTTAAGTAGGGGTTGGAGAGAAAGCTCCTGGCTTAGAGCACTTGCTGCTCTTCCAGAGAGCAGGTTCGATTCTCAGCCTCCACATGATGACTTACAAGCATCTATGATTCCAGTTTCAGGGGATCTGACAACGTTCTCTGGCCTCTGTGACATCAGGCAAGCAAATGGTGCAGGGAAAACATTCACACACTTTAAAAATTATTTATGTGTGTATGTGGCTGAGTTTATGGGCACTACGTTTTTGCGGTGCTCTTGGAGGTCAGAAGGTATCAGATCCCCTGGAGATGGAGTTACAAGAAGCTGAGGACTGCCAAGTATGGGTGTTGGGAACCAAATCCAGGTCTACTGAAAAAGCAAGTGAATTTAACCACTGAGACACCTTGACAGACCTGAAATTAAGTTTTTTAAGTAAATAAAAATAAAGCATAGTGTAATGATTAACTTGATTACATCTGGAATTAACTAAAATTCAAATATCTGGGCACACCTGTGAGGGATTTTTTTTTCTCCTTAATTAAGTCATTGGAAGTGGAAAGACCTATTTCTAATCTGGATGGGGGGGTGAGATAGGGTTTCTTTGGGTAGCAGCCCTAATAGTCCCGGAACTACGTAGACTAGGCTGGACACAAATTCACAGTGATCTGCCTGCCTCTGCCTCCAGAGTGTTGGGATTAAAGGTGTGTGCCACCACAGTCAGCAAATATGGATTTTGAGGTGAGAAGATACACCTTTAATCCAGATCTTTTGAGGTGAAAGATCCACCTTTGATCTGAGCCACACCTCTGCTGGCAGCCTACATAAAGGACATGGGAGAAGGAAGCTTGCTCTCTTTGCCTGCTACTCGCTCTCACTGGCAAGTCCATTCCTCACTGGCATTAGAGCATGCGTCTTCAGCATTCCAGTGTCCGCTGAAGACCAGCCGAGACATCCAGCTTTGTGGACTGAATAACTACTGGATTCTTGGACCTTCCGTTGGAAGTGTATATATATTATATATCCTACAATTAATCCAACATAGCCGTCTAAGGATCACAACAGCCAACTGGAGAGGCGTGACAGTGACGTTAGTGGCCTGCCACCAAAGTCCCCAGGGAGCCTCATGGTGCTCAGCAGGAGGCAATCACAGCTCTCCTAAATCTAATTTCAGAGATGCCTGCGGCCTACAGTAGTAAATAAGCAACCCCACCAGAATCAATCAAGGAAATAAATATTTAGCGTTGCTCTGGCAATAGCTGACAGCTATCAAACCACTGAAACAGCTCATGTACACATCCTATCAAAACAGTACAGCAAGGCTATAAACTTGGTTTAGCAGCTAGCTTTTGAACTATCTTCCCAGGTACATAGAAAATAACCCCATAGATGTTATCTAAAGGGTTAGAGAGAGGATTCAATGATCAACAGCATGTGCTGCTCTTCCAGAAGACCCAGCACCCACCTCACAGCTCAGAACCTTCCGTCACTCCAGTCCTAAGGTGCCCACTTCTGGAACTCCTTGGGCACCAGGCATACACAGAGCACACAACATGCGGACAAAATACTTATACACATGAAATAATAAGATAAATCTTTTAAAAAGAAGAGTACAGGCAGTTGTTTCTGGAAACATGTCACATACAAGGAAATGAGGAATTACAACCCAGGCAGAGAGCAGTCACAGTTGAAAGGCAGGGGATATCAACACTGGAGTTACTTACCCCAGGCAGAGGGCAGTAGAACTGGTGAATTGTGTGCATGACATCCAAGAGCATATTGTGTCCAACAACCAGTTTTCCCTGGGAAAAGACAAGGTCCAAATTGCATCAGGACTTGAGTAAGATAGATGCTTTAGATGAAACAAGAGTTTCACAACAGAGACAGGCAAGCCTCCTGTTCAGTAGGCAATCCGCACAGGCCTCAAATTCATAACCTTCCTGCCTTGGTCTCTCAAGTGCTGAGATTACAGGTATACATCCACTGTATCCATTCTTAGTGATGTCTCCGTTTTTCTTAGTTTTATTAATCTAGTCATTTTCAGGAATTAGATGTAGTTTTTTTATTGTTGGTTTTGTTTTATAAGACAAGTCTTGCTATACTGCCCAGGCTGCCCCTGGACTTCTGGGCTACAGCAATCCTCCTGCCTCGGCGTCCCTGAGAGGGTGGGGGACACAGCACACACAGTGCCTGGCTGGAAGTTTGATTGAAGCACTTTTAAACAATAAAATCTGAAACCCTGAGAACTTGGCTTGTCAAAAGCTGTGAATAAAACTTCAAATATATATCTTTAAGACTTTTAAAAAGATCTTTAAAACAGCCTACTTGTTAAAGATTTATTTATTTATTTATTTATTATGTATACAATATTCTGTCTACATGTATGCCTGCAGGCCAGAAGAGGGCACCAGACCTCATTATAGATGGTTGTGAGCCACCATGTGATTGCTGGGAATTGAACTCAGGACCTTTGGAAGAGCAGACAATGCTCCTAACCGCTGGGCCATCTCTCCAGCCCCCTAAAGATATATTTATAACAATGCTATGAAATGGAAAAATAACTAATTCCTAATTTTATTAAATTCAACTTTCATTAACTACATTATCTATGTCTCATTTCAATGGGTCATGACATGTCATTGCTCTTCTTTTTAAAAATTTATTATTATTAGTCTGTGTGTGCACACACACATATGCACATACTTGAGTGGGCGGTGGAGGGGGCAAGAACACATGCCACAGCAGCGTTTGCTCTTTCTACTTTACATGGATTTGGGAAATCAGACTCAGGTTGCCACACTTGCATGGCAAGTGCTTTATCCATTGAGCCATCTTGCTGACCCTCAATGCTTCTCAATCAACTGAAATATAAACATGTACAATAATTATTGCATTTTGATAAAAATTTAACTACTAAAATAGAATGTTGCAACCTTGTGATTCTTCAGGAAATGGGAAGATGATGACACTGCTGGTTTAGTTTTGGGGATGGAGGAGTGGGAGTTGAGACAGATCCTCAGGTAGCTTAGGCTGGCTTTGAGTGCCTATGTAGCAGGGATAACCTTGAACTCCTGATCCTTGTGCCTCTGTTCCCCAAGGCTGGGATTAGGCATGTGTCACCATATTCAGCTTTGTTTCCAGATTTTGTGTGGGTTTTTGTAACTTATTTGTGGATTAGGAAGGGTATTTTGGGGCTGGAGAGATGGCTCAGTGGCTAAGAGCATTGCCTGTTCTTCCAAAGGTCCTGAGTTCAACTCCAGCAATCACAAGGTGGCTCACAACCATCTGTAATGAGGTCTGGTGCCCTCTTTCTGGCCTACAGGCATACAGACAGACAGAACACTATATACATAATAAATAAATAAATTTTTTTTAAAAAAGGGTATTTTGCTTTATTTGACACAGCGTCTCCTCTATAGCCTGGGCTGTGCTGGGACTCACTGTGTAGTGCTGGGTAGATGACTCCATTTTGAACATAACACATCAAGCAATATAGTGAAGCACAGCTTGTTAGATTTGGGATATTTTATAGAAGATTAATTATGTCAAGAATTAAGTTGAGCTCTGACTTTGACGTGTTACATAAAGAAACATTAAGACTCTGTAAAAAGCTTCATTTCTATAATGCAAAGACTGAGGAGGGATCATTAGTCAGTCAGCCTAGCTGAATCAAAGAGGGGCAGGACAAGTGAAAGGTAGGGCGGGGCATGACAACTGAAGAAGGGAGATGCCAGATGTCAACAACTGTCTTAGTTGGTGTTCTACAGCTGTGATGAGACACAGTGACCAAGGCAATCTTCTTATGGGACTTGCTTCCAGTCTCAGAGTCAGTCCATTATCATCACGGCAGTATGCGTTGCACTGAGAGCTACATCCTCAACTGCAGACAGAGTCTCTGGGCAAACCAACACTTGGTGACACACTTCCTCTAACTAGGCCACACCTAATCCTTTGAAACAGTGTCATTCCCTTGTGACTAAGCACTAAAATCTTTGAGCCTAGGGTGGCCATTCTCTTTTAAAGCACCACAGCAGCCATACCTGCACTTATGGCTGTGTGTACATACACACTGTCTAGTGACGTCAACCTGAACTTATGGCTGTGTGTACATACACACTGTCTAGTGACGTCAACCTGAACTTATGGCTGTGTGTACACAACACTGCCCAGTGACGTCAACCTGAACTTATGGCTGTGTGTACACAACACTGCCCAGTGACGTCAACCTGAACTTATGGCTGTGTGTACACAACACTGCCCAGTGACGTCAACCTGAACTTATGGCTGTGTGTACACACTGCCCAGTGGCACAGAGTCAGGACAGCACAGAAGGAACCACTCTTGGGGCTACTGGTTAAGAGTGCTTACTGCTTTCAGAAGACCTGAGCTTTGTTCCCAGCACCCATTTCACAATCACCTGCCAGTAGAGCTCACAATCACCTGGAAGAACATCTGAGGATGTTCTCTTCTGGCTTCTGCAGGAAGAAATGAGTTCAAGGCCAGCCTAGTCTACAGAGTGAGTTCAAGAACAGCCAGGTCTACAGAGTGAGTTCAAGGACAGCCAGGTTAACAGACTGAGTTCAAGGACAGCCAGGTCTACAGACTGAATTCAAGGACAGCCTCTCTACAGAGTGTGTTCAAGGACAGCCTGATCCACAGAGTGAGTTCAAGGACAGCCTGCTCTACAGAGTGAGTTTAAGGACAGCCTGGGCTACACAGAGAAACAAACGAACAACGAACAAAACGAACAAGAAAAAGGTTCAGTCCCCAGCCGGCACACTGGGCAGCTGTAAATTCAGCTCCAGGGATCTGACACACTCTTCTGGACTATGTAGGCACCTGCAATCACAAGTCCACACATACACATACAAGCAAAATATCCATACACATAAATTATTTCTTAAAAAAAAATTAAAGAGTAAAGTGCTGGATTCAACCCTCAATCCTGCAAATAGATCCATCAACCATTCAATAAATAAATAAATGTGTTTACTATCTGTTGGCTTCATAGAAATTATTAATATTAATAAAAAATTAAACCAGGTTATGGTGGCTCAGGCCTCTAATCCCAGCACTTGAGAGGCGGGTGGATCTCTGAGTTCAAGGCAAACCTAGTCTACAGAGCAAGCTACAGGACAGGCAGGGCTATATAGAGAAACCCCATTTTGAAAAAAAAATAAGAAATATTATAATTTCTAAAAAGTATAACTCAAATTTTTTTCTCACTTTGTTTCCTCTAGATCCTAGAAAAGAGATTTAGATCCTTTTATTAAACTAAGTGTTTTGAAGAGATCTCTGTCATCTTCTCACTTTTCAGATCTGCCACGGCACCATAGGTATTCAGAGGTACTACTGTCTTCTGTATTTGTTCGGAGTATGTACAGTTAGGTGAATAGAAATGTACTTCTTTCCACGTACAAGGAGGACTTTGAACAGTAAGATGACTTCTCAAGCACGCTGGAAGCACACAGTACCAAGGGTGAGCAGAACTTGCTTCTCTAGGCACCTATGACCTCAGCAGCTGCTGAAGAGACTCAGTCCTTTCTCCTCCTAGGATCACACAATCTGTGTTCACAACCGTTTGTGTGTCTACTTCAGCAACAAGTTCCTCGTGATTAATGATCTTCTTTTAGAAGGCTCTAACATTGGCGCTATCTCCACATGAGAACATGGTGTGCCTCCTCTCCACTGCCCATGTTGACAGACCTGCACTGGCCTAAAAGGGTCTTGATGGTCAAACATCTAAGGGACAAGTCAACCTCTTTTCCCAGATCCAACTGCCCAAGGAGAAGAAAATCTTAGACCCAGGTGATCTACTATCAAAGCAAGAGAACTACCACATTTACACATGCAAAAGGCAGATGCCTTTCAGAAAGGATCAAGGAAAGATGTCTACCATAGAATTCTCTGGCCATTTATACAAATAGCCAGTAGGTTTTGTTCTGGTTTGGTTTTGCTTTTTTGAGAGACAGTTTCACTGTTTAGCTTTAGAGCCTGTCCTGGAACTCACTCTGTAGAACAGACTAGCCTGAAACACACAGAGACCCGTCTGCCTTTGCCTCCTGAGTACTGAGACTGAAGGCATGCACCACTATTGCCTGAAGAGTCAGTAAGTTTTCAAAGTTTTATTATTACTGAGATTATGATAGATGTATTTCAGGATTTAACTAGAGTTCTATAGAGGAAGTCAACTTGTAATTATTTATCCTCTGGATTACTCGACTTGCTCCTTGACTTCTGATTCTCAATTTCATACTCGTGGTGCCAGTTTCATGCAGCTATTGTGTTGGGTTTTTTTGTTTTTGTTTTTTTTTAAATCTTCCAGTTTTACAAGATAGGGTTTCCTGTGTAGCTTTAGAGCCTGTCCTGGAACTAGCTCTTGCAGACCAGGCTGGCCTCAAACTCACAGAGATTCGCCAACCTCTGCCTCCCGAGTGCTGGGATTAAAGGTGTGCGCCACCACCGCCCAGCATCATGCAGCTATACATAGACATCGTAGGGTAGGGTTTGCAACAGAAGCCTTCTGAAAACTGGCTTGGATATAGTTCAGCGATGATGACTCCTGGCCTAGTAACAGCAGCAACCGACCCCGTGTCACTGACTTCCTCCTTGAGACTAGGTAAACATGCCAAGGGTGACTGTGGTAGTTTCAATGTAATTGCCCCCCCCCCAAAAGCTCTAGGAAGTGGCATTATTAGAAGATGTGGTTTTGCTGGAGGAAATGTGTCACTGTGGGGGTGAGGTTGAGGTCTCTTACGATCAAGCTATGCCCAGTTGTCTCAGTTCACTTCCTCTCACCTCCATATAAAGTGTAGACTCTCCATCACTCCAGCACCATGTCTGTATACATGCCACCGTGTACACAATGATGACAATGGACTGAATCTCTAAACTGTAAGCCAGCCCCAATTAAATATTTCCCTGTAGTACAATTAATAAAAACCCAGAGGCAGGTATTGGGGTTCAACCTGAAGGTTAAAAAAGCAAAGCAGTCAGCCACTGATTCTTACGTCTAACTCAGTCTGAAATGGTGACCCTGCCACCAGGAATCTCAGAATGAGACAGTGTCTGAGAGCTGTCTCCTCGCTTTTTATGTTCCTCTCTAGTTCTGGGATTAAAGGCGTGCACCAGTATCACCCAGTTTCTATGGCAAACTAGTGTGGCTACTGGGATTAAAGGTGTGTGTCACCACTGCCTGGTCTGTGAGGCTGACCAGGAAGCTGTTTTACTCTCTGATCTTCAGACAAGCTTTATTTATTAAAATACAAATGAAATATCACTACATTTTCCTTTATAAGAATTGCCATAGTCATGGTGTCTATTCACAGCAATAGAAACCCTAACTAAGACAGTAATCAAATGAACAATTTGCAATAGCAGTTAGACACTTAATCTTAAATAGTATGCTTAGTCATTTAATTAGAAACAAAACCAAAATGTTGATGACTTACCGAATTAGCAATGGCATGGATGACTCTTGAAAATCCCACAGCATCATTCAGTTCCTCCTAAGTAAAAGAACTAAATTAAAAACAAACAGAGCCAGCAAGAGGGCTTAGTGGGTAAAGGCACTTGCCACACAGGCCTCACAACCTGAGTGTGCCCCTCAAAACCCTGTAAAGGCTGAAGAAATGTGCCAACTCAAACTGAACCCAAGTTCAGTTCCCAGCAGTCACATTAGAGATCTCAAAAATGCATTTAACTACAGCTTCAGGGACTCCCATACCCTCATCTGGCCTCTGCACACTTGTGCAGACGTGGCACTCACTCTCAAAGATACACACAAAGCACACATATACACATAAATAAAATAATGAAAGTGGGGCTGGAGAGATAACTCGGCAGTTAAGAGCACTGACTGCTCTTCTAGAGGACCCGGGTTCAATCCCCAGCACCCACAAGACAGCTCACAACTGTCTGTAACTCCAGTATCCAGCTCCCTAACACATTTACACATATAGGCTAAAACACCAATAAAATAAATAAGGAAAAACAAAATAAAAATAAAATAATGAAAGTAAATCTTCGATGAGAGGTGGTGATAAACACCTTTAATCACAACACTTGGGAGGCAAAGACAGGCAGATCTCTTGAGTTTGAGGTCAGTCTGGTCTACAGAGCAAGTTCCAGAACAGCTAGGGCTACACAGAGAAACCTTGTCTCAAAAAGAGAGAGAGAGAGAGAGAGAGAGAGAGAGAGAGAGAGAGAGAGAGAGAGAGAGGAAAGAAAGAAAAGAAAGAGAAGTACAGTACATATTTTTCTGTTTTAGAGAGTAAAATAGCAATGTTAAATTACTCATTAACATCAACAGTTTGCCATCACTTTACATATTGGGAAAGGGACTATTTATTTTATTTTCTGAATCAGGACCTCCTGCAGTTTATACTGGCCTTGAAGCTTGACCTTCCCACGTCCTCCTTCCAAGGGCTGGGTTCAGAGGAATGGACCCCACCACACATAGCTACAGGACCATGTTATAATTCCAAAGTCAATCAAGGTGACTTACGAAATACAACAAGGCAGACAAGGTAGTGCAAAGCTGTGATCCCAGCAATTGGAAGACTGGGCAAGAGAACCAGGAACTGCCGTCTAAGATCCTACTGGTCTTCAAAAACTCCAAACCAAAACAAACTGTAACTGCTGGCTAAACTGATCCAACAACTGTGATCCAGAAATACATAGAAAGAAGTCAGTCCTATTATACTGTCATTTCTTACTAAATGAAATAGCAAGTGCACACTCACCTGTTCCTTTGCATACTTCTCCTGCTCTCTTCTCTTGCGTTCTTCTTCATCCACTTTGCTGATAAGTATGTGTCTCTCCTTCTAAAAGACACAGCAAATGTGCAGCTTTCTGAAAACATCTTATACCCCCTTAAGTCTCCAAAGGGCTGTGATTATCACTTCAAATGGCAATGTTGATGTATTGGGCTACACAGTGAGTTCAAGTACAGCTTGAGCTAGATGAGTCCATTTCAAAAAGCCAAAAAGAAAACAGCCAAAAAGTTATCAGTCAAAGCATAAGCAAGCACAACAGAAGCTATTCTGAGATGATGCCCAAGCTGAGTGAGGACACGGACCCCTCTAAATCTGCATGTCATGACACTTCCAGTACTTTGTTTTGTTTTATTTTGTTTTTCGAGACAGGGTTTCTTGGTGTCTTTGAAGCCTGTCCTGGAACTCACTTTGTACACCAGGCTGGCCTTGAACTCAAGGAGATCTGCCTGCCTCTGCCTCCTAAGTGCTGGGATTAAAGCTACAGAGAAACCCTGTCTCAAAAAAAAAAAATTCAAACTAACAAATGTCAATTGAAATCAACCACAGACTGTGCAAACAAGACTTTATAGTTATCAACAAGGTTATGTAACTTTTGATCATGAAATTTTAAATGATTAGTTTTAAATAAAGCATTTACATCATATTTTATGATTATGAGGAAAAACTTTAGAGTAGTATTGTCTTATTTCTCACAAATCATTTTATATTTATGAGATATTTTACAGTCATTAAGTACACTGTAGGGTCAGAGACATGGCTCATGAGGGAAATGCACCTAATGACAAACCTGACCACCTGAGTTCTAGCCAGGCAAGAGAGAACTGACTCTCACAAGTTGTTTCCTGACCTCCACATGCCCTAATCCCCACCAACACAGACACAGATATGAGCATGTGTGTGCTTACATGCGTGCACGCAGGTGTAAATTTTAAGAGAAAAAGAGGGGCTGGAGAGATGGCTCAGCAGTTAAGGGCACTGGCTGCTCTTCTAGAAGACCCAAGATTGATTACCAGAACCACATGGCAGTTCATAATTATCTATAACTCCAGTCCCAAGAGATCCAATTCCCTTTTCTGGCTGCTGTGGGCACTGCATATACATGGCAAACAGACATGCATGCACATAAAACACCCATGCACATAAAATAAAAACAAACCTTTAATTAGAAAAAGAAAAGATGCATACAATATATATAATGTATGTATATATTAGAAATGGGAAAAGTACTCTTCCATTTATACACTGAATCCTTTTATTTGGTTCGTTTTTGTTGCTTTTTGTTTGTTTTGTTTTGCTTGAGACAGGATCTCTCTACATAGCCCTGGCCAACCTGGGAATCACTATGTAGACCAGGCTGGATGGAACTCAAAGAGATCAGTCTGCCTCTAAGAGCTGGAATTCTGGAATTAAAGGAGTACACCTCCACTCCTAGCCTGAATCTTCATTAAAAAAAAAAAAAGCAAAAAGTGGGGGTTGGGGAGATGGCTCAGTGGTTAAGAGCAATGACTGCTCTTGCAGAGGACCTGAATTCTACTCTCAGCACCTACAGATGACTCACAAACATCTGTAACTCCAATTATGCTTCTGACTTCCATTGTCACATGTTACACAAACTAAACGCAGGCAAAGCATTTGTCCACATTAAAAAAAAAATAGCCAGGCAGTGGTAGTGCACACTTTTAATCCGACACTCTGAAGGCAGAGGCAGGTGGATCTCTGTGAGTGTGAGGCCAGCCTGGTCTACAGAGGTCAGTTCAGGACAACCAAGGCTACACATTTATTTCTCCATCTTGGAGAAACAAACAAACAAATAAATAAATAAATCTTCTAAATTTCTGTTTTTTTTTTTAAAATCTTAAAAGCTGTAACCAACGTTAGATTAAGATCATAATGCTCAGCTCCGCTACACAAATAAGGAAAAGCAGGTTCAGAGAGGACAAATGGCTGGTCAGTCGCACTGTGTCAGCTGACTGTCAGCATAACTTTTAGTTACCTTTTCAGTTTCTAACGTCTCAACATGAATGCCTTTGGGAAACCTAAACAGAAAAAAAAAAAAGGAAAAAAACACATCAGTGTAGATTCAATGACTGTTAAAGCCCAAAGAATTCAACAAGCAGCCACGTGGCTATAAACAAGTTTTACTAAAATAGGACAATCACCACTACACTTTACAAAAAGCCTACTGAAAACTGTTTTCCCGCCTCGTCTCAGGCACTGGAATGTCATCAATTTGATGTGAACATTTTAGTACTTTCTAAAATGCTTGGTATTTCATAATACAGTCAACTCAGTGTCACAGAGGACATCTTGCTTCCTAATGCCTATTTTGTAACTGAAGTGTTTTAACAGTGTCTGCAGACTTCATGGGGTGCACAAAGGGAAGGGCAGGGGGCTGCTAGGTTGCAGTTTGCCTTGGCATTTACAGCAGCCAAAGAGGAAAGGGATGTGGAAAGCACAGAGACCAGATGTATGGATAGGACAAGATCATTCCCATGTGCACATCACTGTCAGATTATTTTTTAGTTTGGAGGGGCAGAGGGAGAGGAAGACACAGAGAACAGAAGGAGTTACATATGTCTTAAGACACAGAAAGAGTGGCATCAGGGGGAGTCAATTTAAGAACTGACTGGGGACATGATAGGGTCAAATCACCCATAACTGAAAACTTCAAGAGCAATAGGACCAAAGATTATACTGTAGTAAATCCCAGTCCTTGAGAGTTCACTCACATCTAATTCAAATACTTACTTCCAACTCAAAGTCTGATAAATAAGTTTTCTTTGGAACCTATAAAACAAGAAAAGGAATTAATGTGGGCTATTAAGAGTGAACCCTAACTGATTAGTCAATGCTTGGGAAAGACTGAATTCAGTGGCCTCATTAGAATGTGGTGTGAATAACAAACACAGGCACATTTGTGAGGCATGTGTTTTTAATCAGAATTTTAAAGTTATTATATTGCTTTGAAAAACAAGGTAGAAATTAGGATCAAGCACACTGCTGCCTGCAGCTGCATGAAGAATTCAGAGTACACATCTGCATCCTGACACCTCCGTGAAGTGTGCCACGAAGTAATGGAGGAGAGATGCTAAGATATTCTCTCACAACGCTGACTTGGTTTTTCTCTGTAGAAAGAATTAAAAAACACAGGGGACCTGACAGTGAATTCTTCTCTTCTGAGGTCCTCACATGGTTAGCCCTCCTTCAGGCTAATGTGCTTCTGGGCACAAGTGAAAGCCTAAGGTGCAGAGTAATTTTCCTCTGGCCAAGGATGGGACAAAGTATTGACTATGAGTCTCAGTAGACAGACATTCCCACTGTGTTAGTACTACAAGTCTAAGGAGCACGTCTGTGAGAGAAGGACTATAGGATGTTGTAAAAAGACCATACATGCTGAACATGATGGTGCACACCTTTAATTCAAGCACTCAGGAGGCAGAGCCTGGTCTACAGAGTGAGTTCCAGGACAGCCAGAGCTGTTACACAGAGAAACCCTGTCTTGGAAAATCAAAAATATAAAAAAAATAAATAGAAAGAAAGAGAGAGAGAGAGAGAAAGAGAGAGAGAGAGAGAGGAGAGAGAACACACATCAAAAGCAGAACTCCTCTTCTACAAAGGAATGCATGCAACAAACAGGAACTGACCCAGTGCATGGCTCTAGATCCAAGATCTTCTTCTCTTCATTTTGTAGGAAAGCCTCTATCTTCTCTCTGATGAATAAGAATCAGACAATGACCATCAGTACCTTGAAGGAATGAAGTGATCAGAACAGTCATTATACTCAAAATCCATACTCAAGTAACCAGCAAATTACATTCAAAAGCAGGGTAAATACAGGGCTAGGGGTGAAGCCAGTAGCACAGCACTTGTCTAGTATGAACAAAAGCCTGAATTCTATTTCTGAACATGCCCCCATATACAAAAGCAGTCAAGTTTTTTTCCCTTTTTCCTTTTTTGAGACAGTCTCATGTATCCCACGTTGACCTCAAACTTGCTATGTACTGAGGACAGCCTGAACATCTGATCTACCTGCCTCTACCACCCAAGTAAAATGCTAGGGTTATAGATGTGCACCATTGTACTCAGCTCACACAGTGCTGGAGACCAAACCCTAGGCTTTGTGCATTCTAGGCAAGCATTCTACCAACTAAGTTACATTCCCAGCCCCAAGAACATGTCTTATGCTTATAGGTCTTTTTTTCCATATAATCCAAGCATATCAAAAAGATAATCAAAACCAAAGAAAATGGCAGGCGGTGGTTCATGCCTTTAATCAGGAGGCAGGGCAGGTGGATCTCCGTGAGTTCGAGGCCAGTCTGACCTACTGAGCTCCAGGACAGGCTCCAAAGCTGTCTCGAAAAACCAAGAGGAAAAAAAATTTAAGGGACTAGTGTGATGGCTCAGAGGTAACTGGTTGCTCTTCCCGAGTTCCTGAGTTCAATACCCAGCATCCACAAGGTGGCTCACCACTGTCTGTAATGAGATCTGGTGCCCGCTTTTGACTGCAGGAATACATGCAGACAGAACACTACATACATAGTAAGTAAATATAAAAAATAAACAAAACAAAAAATGGATGTATTTTTACATATGCTTTGTATGAAATTATTGATGTCACTAGCAAAATTAAAACATCTTCTCAAACAATTAATCAATATTAGAGTTGCAGAGACAAGAGTACTTGCTACACAACCATGAGGGTAAGTGCAGATTCCAACACCAACAAGCCAGGCAGGACTTAACACACAGCCATAACCCCAGCGCTGGGAGGGGGAATGGCAGAGACAGAAGGATCACTGAGCCATGCTGTCAGCCTAGCTCCAGCTACAAGGAGAAGCCCCACCTCAAAAATAAAGAGTAATGCAAATGGATACCCAACCCCCTTCTCTGACCTCCTCACGCAGACACCCACACGAGTGTATACATACCACTTACACAATCTGTAAATATTTTAAGAAAGAATTCATCAATACTAGCAATACATTTTGACTTTTCTAATAAAGCTATTATACTGGTGACTAACCTATACAAGACTAGATAGACTAGATACTCCTTCAAGGACACATTTTCTTGTCAAAACTTCACTGTGAGAAAAAAAAAACAGTGTACGCAGACAGATCTGCACACCTGCTGAGGCCCTCACACAGCAGCACGGAACAGGTCCAAACACGATGCAACTTGCTGCCATTGCCCATATTTAGATAAGCCACAATTAAAGCCTGCAACTCCTAAGCACGCTCGTGTGAACACCTGTGCACAAATTGTGTGGAAGACAGAAGTCCTGCCACAATCAAGATGCTGCCTCTCACATCACACCTATGTAGGTGCCCTGCAGGCGCTGCCCAATGTGGGACAGCTCCCAGCCCATGTGGTATGTCATTTCAGGAACTTACACTACTTGGTCAATGAACTTCTTCTGGTCCTCAGGAACTGCCACAGGACATTTTGCCATAGTTCCTGCCCCATTGGCCTGAGAACGTTTTTCATCAAATTGCTCTCTCAGCTGCCTTTCTTCTTCTTGATTCAGATATGGAATTCCTACACATAATTGTTTAAAGGACAAATTAGAAGAAATAATAATTTCAGAGAAAACTCTTCCTTTAAATTTATTTTTCCTTATGTGTTAAGTATGTGTCTTGTATGCAGGTGCCTGTAGAGATCAGAAAAGGGCCTTGGATCCCCTAGAACTGGAGTTACAGGCAATTATGAGTTGCCAGATGTGGGTGATAAAAACCAAACTCCACCCCCTTGGAAGAAAAGCAACCATTCTTAACTTCTGAGCCATGAAACTATTTTTGGTTGGTTGTTTGGTTTTGTTTTGGTTTTTGGGTTTTTTTGGGTTTTTTTTTGTTTTTTGTTTTTTGGTTTTTTTTGGTGGTGGTGGTTTTTTCTTTTTTTTGGAGACAGAGTCCCACCATGTGGTACTGCCTCTCCTGGAACTCACTATGTAGACCAGGCTGGCCTTGAACTCATAGATCTGCCTCCTAAATTATGGATCAAAGGAGTTCATCACTACACTTGGCTTAAACAAGTTTAACTAACAAGAAGTTTTTAACTAACTAAAAATCTATCATATCCAGGAAAAACATTTTAACTATACTGTAAAAAAAGAAAACAACACAGAAGGTAAGTGATCATTAAATATGCTTGTTCATGCATTCACTCTTCCTTTCAATAAATAGTTAGCCCTGATGCTATTCTGAGTATTTATGAATAAGAACATGAAGGAAATAACAGAGGTAGCCTGTTCTGCCACAAAGGGAACTTCTGATCAAATGAGCAAGAAAAGGTCACTGTGAGGGAAAACCAAATGACAAGTAAGAAAAACGATATGCAGAGCCAACAAAGGGACCACTCTAAGAGGGAGAAACAAAAGAATCATCACTGGTTGCTAAAGTTAATTGACAACAAAATCAATCCGAGTTAGTATTTCCTCAAGAAATGCACAAAACTGGGCATTCCTAATCATCCTATAGGATGTTAAAGTCACCCTGAGCAAGAGAAGGGCTAGGCAGACTGACAACAATGCCAAGCTAGAGCTCAAGCTCCTGGAGAACGCCTGGACTTCACGGAGCCTGTGACAGCCCTGAAGATCCTGGAGAACGCCTGGACGTCACGGAGCCTGTGACAGCCCTGAAGATCCTGGAGAATGTCCGGACGTCACGGAGCCTGTGACAGCCCTGAAGATCCTGGAGAATGTCCGGACGTCACGGAGCCTGTGACAGCCCTGAAGATCCTGGAGAACGTCCGGACGTCACGGAGCCTGTGACAGCCCCAGGAAGAACTTCCGGCAGAAGAGTTATTGCAGGGTTTCTGGTTTTGAGACAAGCCCTCTTGGTATGAAGCCAAGGCTGGCACTGAACTTGCAATTCTCCTGCCTCAGCTATGGGATTGCAGGCAGCTACCACCACATCTGACTCTCCTTCTATCTTCTTCTTTTCTTTTTGCAGTACTAAAGATGAAACTGGATCTCACATAGGCAGGTTGACTGACTGCCTGCCTAACTGCCAAACATTTAAGAGCAAGGAACGTCATTCTACTATGTCCTACTATCCAATATTCCAGCACTAACATTCAACAAATAGTAATAGTCTCCTTCCTGATAAAGACGCCTCATGCTCTACAGTGACGATGGCACATAAGAAAGGCACTGTCCCTTCTCAGCATGCTGTCCAGTCGAATATCCCTTCAGGTGAGCCACTAGACTCATGCCAACTATATAGACCACACCTCTCCCCATGAGTTGTCTCCAATTATAAGATATACAGTAATGGGCAAGGGAGATTGTGACCAGAAGGCTAGAATAAGTATGAAATGCACCTGTCACACTGGCAGAACCTAGGAAACATTCCTGCATTTGGACAGATGTGAGTAAGTCCTAAAGGAATAGATGAACTATCTTTAAGAGACCTCATTACAATCTAAGGAAATACTACCTACTCTCTTACTCACCTCAGAATTTTGTAACCAGGTTACAAAAAAGAGGGTGCAGCTGAAACAGTGAAAAGCATTTGCTTCTGTTCTAGAGGACCTGAGTTCAGGTCCCAGCATCACATCAGACAGCTCATCACCACCTTTACTTCCAGCTGCAGAATACCCAGAATCCTCTTCTGAGCTCTGTGGGTACTCACACACACTGACATAGGCACAGATGTAATACATAAATGCAAAAATGGGGGTTGGAGAGATGGCTCAGTGGTCAACAACACTGACTGTTCTTCCAGAGGACTCAGGTTCAATTCCCAGCACCCACATAGAAGCTAACAACTGTCTACAACTCCAATTCCAGAGGATCTGACACCCTCACACAGAGATGCAAGCAAAACAACAATCAATGCTCATAAAAATAAACTATTTTAAAAAAATAAAAGCAATTCTTTTTTTGAGACAATGTTTCTCTATAGCTTTGGTGTCTGTCTTGGAACTAGCTCTTGTAGCACAGGCTGGCCTCGAACTCAGAGATCTGCCTGCCTCTGCCTCCCAAGTGCTGGGATTAAAGGTGTGCACCACCACCACCCAGTGAAAAAATGTTTTTTAATAAAAAATTAAACACAGAGGTTAAGGGGCATAGCTCAGTCAGTTAAACACCTACTATGGGGATGGGCTCCAAAGCTTGTTTCATGTTAGGCACACACTCTACCAAGTGACCTAGCTACATTCACAGCCCAAAATGTGCTTTCTTTGTGGGTTCCTGCTACTGTTTCTGAGAAGTAGGGATTGAGCCTAAGACTTCATACATGCCACGAGGAACAGAGTTTGGAGCCCCAGCACCCATGGACAAGCTGGGTGAGGCAGCACACATCTATAAATATATATATAAGTATATATATAAATAAATAAATAAATATATAAATAAACATAAAACCTACATGATGAACTATAAGTTGATAAAATAAAAAGGCTTTTGAAAAATGGTGATTCTCAAGTGAAATGAGATTTACTTCTGAAGGATTTCAAAGTTTTATCAACTAGAAAGTCAGTCTTACCACTGCAAAACACTTTATTAAAGTCAAATCCTTGGCTTGCTAGGAAGTCAATGCTGGAACTCTGAAAATAGACACACACATGTCAGTGTTAAAAATCCAGAATGGAAGGCTAACTCCCCAGTAGCAGTAGGCTCCTCCTATTACTAGACTGACAGGAAGGCTGTAAACAGAAATAAGAACATTCATAAAGCCTCAAATATAAACCGAAGAGTCAGATAAGAAGGCCATCTTCTCATTAGAACAGTGTGTGTGCGTGTGCGCATTGTGGTGGTGGAATGGGTGTGGAAGCAAGAAGACAACTGGCAGAGTTGGTTCTCTCCTTCCACCTGTAAGTGGGTTCAAGGGACCGAACTCAGAGCAAGCGCTTTGACCCCCTCAGCAATCTTACTAGTCTGGAAGGCTCAAAATCTTAACTGGATGTTGTCTGCTTTTGTCTCATATTGGTTTGTGTTTTTTTGAGACATGTTTCCGTGTAGCTAGGCTAGTGAGAACTCACCAAGTAGCTGAAAATGACCCTGAATTTCCTAATCCTCCTGCTTCCTTGAGGACTGAGACTGTAACTGTGCACAACCACACCCAGTCTGAGTCCTGGGGATCGACTCCAAACCTTGCTTCATGCTAGGCACACACGCTACCAAATGTGCTAGCTACATTCACAGCCTAAGACTTCATACATGCTATGTGAGCACTCTACCAAGGAGCTGTATCTTCAACACTCAGATTTTTGGTTTTTTTCAGACTGAGTTGTTGAGTTGCCTACGATAGCTTTGAACTCAGAGTCTGTAGTCCACTAAAGGCTCGGGCTCTGTTGCTCCCTGCCTCAGTCTCCTGAACAGCTGGGATGACAGGTCTGTGCCACCAAACCTGGCCAGTAGGATATGTTTGTTTGTTTGTTTGTTTTTCAAAACAGGGTTTCTATGTGTAGCTTTGGAGCCTGTCCTGTAACTTGCTCTGTAAACCAGGCTGGGCTTGCACTCACAAAAATTCACTTGACTCTGCCTCCTGAATGCTGGCATTAAATGTGTGTGCCACCACCACCTGGCCAATTGGATGTTTTTAATTTTCAAGATCCATCCGGGCGGTGGTGGCACACGCCTTTAATTCCAGCATTCAGGGAGGCAGAGGCAAGATGATCTCTGAGTTCAGGACCTGTCTCAAAAAACAAAAAAAAAAAAAAATTTCAAGATCCAGAGAGCAAAATCCCTAACTAAGCAAACCTGACTAAATAAACACCTCCTGCATCTGGAAGATGTGAATAGATTTATCAAAGTTAAGTAAATAATTTTAGAAATAGTGCATGAATTTGGCCAAATCATAAAGCCCTTCCTCAAAGTAACTAAAGAGGAGAATAATATTATAGCTACTCCGATTTTCTGTGTTCTCCTAAAGTCTCCCATCCCCCACCTCCCACAGAGAGGGTTTCTCTGTGAAACAGTCCTGCTGTCCTGGAACTCACTGTGTAGACCAGGGTGGCCATGAACTCACAGAGATCAGCCTGCCTCCACCTCCTGAGTGCTGGGATTAAGGGCGTGAGTTACCACCGCCTAGCACTCTCCCTAAACCTTACATGTGCAAACACTCCATCTCCAACAGACATGCTAAGGACATGGATAGGTGTTTTGTCTACCATGTGCTAAACTGAGGCTGCCTGAAGTTTTTCCTCTAGAAACCCTTCTCACATAAGAAATGTCACATAAACTCAAGTATAGGAATATAAAATAGATAGACAAGTCAACCATTTGCTGATAAATAAATCACAGAGACATTCTAGAAAACTTCTTTCATATACATACAACTATTTTAACATTATTAAAGACAAAAGCAGATCTGTGACACACCACAAGCAGGAAAACTAGAAGTTCAAGGTGATCCTTGACTACTTAGTAATTTTGAAACTAGTCTGAACTCCACTGGACCAAGTCTCAGAAAACACAGAAAGAGAAGGTGGGAAGTAGAAAGACAAAAAGCATATAAATGCCATCCTGCAACTCCACTTGCTTCAGTCTGCCGCCCATTCCTCCATCCCACCTAGCAGCTCAGTTCTAAACACATTGACTTTCAAGGACACAGTAAGATGTTTTACCTTTAGGTCCCAGATGACATAATTTTAATCTACTCAGACTGTAGCACCTATTCCTTTGTAAAATGTAGTTCTGCAGATGGAGGTGTGTGTCTATGTGTTTGTATGCATGTGGATGTGTATGTAGTATGTGGGAGAGGGTGCATGTGTCTATGCATGTCTGCTTTGCTGTGTGTATACACACTTGCCCGTACGATGTATAAAAAGATGTGCACAGGTGCACTCAACTCATCCATACAGCCACATGTGGAATCCTAAGGTCCTAATCACTCTCCACTTTAATTTTTGGTCTCTCATTGAACCTGGGGCTCACCTTTTCAGCCAGACTGGCTGGCCAGCGGGCACCTCCCCTCAGAACCTACCAGTTTCAACATGCAGCCCTAGGATTACTGGTCCTGGCTATCATACCCTGATTATCCACTCAGCCATATCCCCAAAGCCTGCAGTTATAGACTTTGAAATAAAACAAGCAAGCAACAACAACAAAAATGCAACTTTATGGCCAAGGAGGTATTTCGGTTTATAAAATGCTTACCTATCATGCGTGAGACCCTAGAATTACAGGTATGTGCCACTTGCCTGTCTATCTATACCTTTAGGTCCAGTTTATGCAAATGCTGGGAATAAAATTCAAGGACCTGTGCATATTAGGCAAGCACTCTACCTACTAAGCTACATTCCTAGCCCTTATCTTGTAACTTTAGAAAGAAAGTGCCCAGTGCCCAGGAGTCTGTGCTTTGGATTTCCACAGATGTATTACCACTTTTATGGCAAAAAAGGAAAAGACTAAAATGAACTCATGTTAGTAGGGAAAGAGCAGCTAAGCTGCAGGATTAGAGGAAAGAGGCAGCCCCTCTCTTCCATCGTACACCCACATACACTCAGCTTATCCATGACAACAAATAATCAAGCAGGCAGAAGGGAAACTTTATTTACCTAGTATCTGCCAAGCCAGCGACCACAAGAGTCTCAGGGTAAGTCTCCCTGCCTCTCTACTTTGTGCTCTTCTCAAAAGGAAAATGGAGTCTTTTCCACCTTCTGTTTCCGAATTGGTGAGTTAGGGGGAAGGACCCAGGTTTACAAAGTTTGACTCTTTCAGAAAAGAAAGCTCTACCCTTGAGGAAGGAACGACAATGAGGTAAGGAGAAGTCTGGGGGTCCTAGCGTAGATAAATACAGAGGAAGACAGAAGATGTCCCAAATGGCGTCCCACTGCAGCTCAGCTTTATTAATAAATAATACAGCTCAGGATCTAAGTTCCATCTGCTTATCTTTAGAGCCTATTTCTTATAATAAGAGGAGCTAACAATATCACAAATTTAAAAACCTAAAAATGAAGATCAGAAAGGTGAGATAACTTATCCAATGCCTAAATCCTGTTGCTTGGTTTTATGGTTTTGCTTAGTTGTTTGTTTGTTTTTTGTTTTGCGGAGAGGGGGAGGAGAAGGTTGACATAGGATTTTATATAGTCCAGACTGCCCTCAAACTCACCAGGTAATTCTGATTCCTCTACCTCCACCTCCCTCCTAAGGCTGTTATCACAGGCACGCACCACTATGTGGTCCTAGAGACAGAACCCAGGGCATCATTCATGCTGGGCAGGCACTCTGCAAACTGACCAACAGCTCCATCTAAAGGAATTCTTCATTTCCACTCCATCCCAGCAGCATTTCATAAATGGAGAAAATGCAGTTCCACTACTAACCTGACAAACAAACTTGACATCTGGCGAGGACCTACTGAAAGGCTTGGGGAAAACATAGAAGTTAAACGACTTCGTTATATGCCTGGGAAAATAAGAAAAAGGGACACTTAGGGGTGATATTAGGAGACAACTTAGGAATTCCCAACTATTAAGACAACCTACTTGGAATCTGTGTGGTCATACTTAAAAGTGCAAAGGCCAAACTGAAACAGCAAAAAGTCCATAGAATGCTATCAAATGAAAAAAAATAACATCAGTCACAAGAGAGTCATATATCTGACATGAGCAAGTATTCTCAATCTGAAGCCTTTCTGAATCAGTCAACATAACTTCAGTAGAACAGACTGTGCAAGCTATACATCCGTAGTCTTATTCATTTATACACAGTTCTTAATTTGTTACCAACTAAGAAGCTACCTACCATTGCCAGAGCATAGCATTAAGCCTATTGCCAAAGTATTACAACTACATCATATTTATTTCCTACATATCAAATTAATTTTAAGAAATAATAGCCCTTACTCAGAATTTTTTCCAACAAACAATAACTTTTGCTAATTTAAACATCACTAAAATGTTATTTTGTGGCTGGTGTTGAGAAGATACACCTCACTTAGAAAACACGAAAGTGTAAGTTAAATGATTCCACCCTTTCATAATTCAACAGCAGGAGCCACATGTCAGAGAAATAGACTTCTGAGGATATCCACTTGCCTTTTTAAGCTTCTGATATCTCTCTTCTGGGGTATCAAAACCACTTGTTAATGCAGTGACGGAAGGTCCATCGCTGATTCCTAGATCATAACAAACAAGGATTGGGTTCATTAGTAAATGCAATATAAAACTGCCTTCTACTTGAGTCTTCATCTAGTGCCTATTCTTATTCCTATTATTTAAAATTAATTCCAAGTGTCTATATCACATTTTTTTAAAATTAACATTAATGTGTGCACTGGGTGTAGCTAACTGGTAGAAGTGCTTGCTTGTTGTGCACATGAGAGGGCCTGAGTTGGATTCCTACATTCAAAGAAAAATAATAATTAGGGGTTGGAGAGCTAGATCAGTCATCAAAACGCTTGCTGTGTAAGCATGAGGGCCTGAGTTGGAATTCCCAGAACCCATGCAAACAGCTACATGGAGCACTGCGCATGCAGAGATTGTGGGTCCCAGGAGCACATCAGCCAGACAGCCAATCAAGGAGAATCACTTAATTCCAGGTTCAGTAAGAGATGCTGTCTCAAAAAAAAAAAAAAAAAAAAAAAAACATAGTTTGATTGAGGAAAACAACCAATGAATGTTGAACTCTAGCCTCTGCTCGTGCACATGTATGTGCACATACTTATACACACACATTTATGCACACATGTATCTACTGAGCTACGCAAAGATTTCCACTAAAGCATTAGGAATATCCTTATTTGCCATTCAAGTATGGCCCTGGCAAGTCACAAAATACCATTTACATGACCTATCTAGAGTGGTCACAATCAATGATGGCTGACAGAGGCAAAGGAGGTAATGGATAATTCATTGAGCAGTGTGTCTGTTTAAGATTAAAGGAAAAAAAATTCCAGAAATAGACAGCGCTGACTACATAGCAGCATGTGTGTAATTAATGCCACCAAATTGCAAAACTACTTAATAAATAGGGCTGGGGAAATGGCTCAAAGGGTAAAGTGCTTGCCATGCAAACTAAAGGACACAGGTTTAGACCGTCACTGTATAAAAGCTGGACCTGACAACACACAACTGTAACCCCAGCAATGGAAGGCTTGTAGTGAGAAACAGATCCGATCCTGGGGGCTGCTGTGGTCAACCATTTAACTGACACGGCCAGCTCTAGGTTCAACAGGAGAATGTGTTTTTTAAAATAAGATGGTGAAAGCCCGGATGTGCCCAAGCCTTTGATCCCAGTGCTAGAGAAGCAGAGCAGGTGGATCTCAGTGAGTTCAAGGCAGCTTGGTCTACGAGAGTTCCAGGACTACCAAGGTTGTTACACAGAGAAACCCTGTCTAGAACAGAAGAAAAAAAAAAAAAAACAAGAAAACAACAGCAACAACAAAAAGTAAACCCTTTGTTCCCTCCCCGTCCCCCGAGTTTCTCTGTATAACAGTCCTAGCTGTCCTGGAACTAGCGCTTGCAGACCAAGCTGGCCTTGAACTCACGGAGATCCGCCTGCCTCTGCCTCCCAAGGGCTGGGATTAAAGGCGGGCACCACCACCGCCTAGCAATCCTCTGCATTTTAACCATAAACACCTAAATTGTTTTAAGCAGTGCCAGAACCACAATCTGTTTCCACAAACTTCAGTATGACTAATCACAGAACCACTGTATCTCTCCCACGCTTTTGCCATAACTAGCAAGATTACAAAAAAAAGCCTTAGCCATACAAGGTGTAAACCCCGTATGGGTTTTAAGGGAGTGATACCTGAAAACTCCCCATCGATGGCGAAGAAGTCAGCCTCCTCTATGGCCTGGTACACTTTGTGAAGATTAATCTTAAAATCTGCAGAGAAACCAAGAAGAGGTTCAGAATAGATGGCTGGCCTTCCAGCCCACCAACTAAAAGGAAATGGGAGAGAAGGGTCCGGAAGAGCGCCCAGGGCCACGGAAGAGACGGACAAGTCCCTAAGGTGTGCAAGGATCGAAGGGAGACAACTTCTTCAGGGGTGGCTAGACAGAAGAGTCCAAGACCCGAAGTGTGCACCACTGAAAAGGGCTAGGCCAGAGGAGGTGCACAGGGAAGAGAGAGGCAAGCGTGCCAAGGGTGCACGTTTCGCAGAGGGACAAGTCCCTCCAGCAGCACCGACTTCAGAGGATGTAAAGCCAAGTAGAACTGGCTTGGCCCCGGGTTCCGCCAAGCACACGAGGTCTGGGCCTAGCACTCTAGGTGGACTTGGGGACATGGGAGGGGTACACGGCGGACACGCACTGCTCCGGATTATCTCCATTCTGCGGCGCAGACGGAACCCTGGCCCCGCCTAGGCCGACGCCGGTCCACGCGTAGAGTTCCACAGCAAAGAGCAGCTACCCGGGTGTCGGAGGAGGCCACGAAACAGACCTCCTGGACACTTCCGGAAACAGCGCGCGCCGCTGCGCCTGCGTCAGAGTTGCGTCGGGGGGGGGGGGGGGGGGGGAGGGGCGGGGCGGAGGCTGAGGGCCTCCGGGCTGTCTGGGAGCAGGAAGTGGTGTTGCTACCAAAGTCCCACAAACACTGGCCCAACTGTTCTGACACCTGGTTGATCAATAGATTTTTGTTGTTGTTTTAGTTTGGTTTTTGGTTAGGGTTTTTCCTGTGCTCTGGCAGTCCTGGAACTCGCATTGTAGACCAAGATGACCTCGAACTAACAGATCTGCCTGCCTCCCCTCCGGAATGAATGCTGGGATTAAAGGTGTGTGCCTCCACCGCTTGACTTGATGTAGAGATTTTATTGAACAATTCTCCCCTGGACTTTAAATTCCGTACCTGAGGAGGATGAAGCAGGGGAATTGCAAATTTGAGGCCACGTAGGCAACAAAATGAGAAGCTCTCTAAAAGTAAATAAGTAAAATATATATGTGTGTGTACATACATGTTGTGTGTTTGTGTGTGTACATACATGTGTGTATATGTACATACATGTGTGCGTGTTATTTGTGAATTTATGGAGTAGCGTCGGAGAGGTTTATGTGTGCATGTGTGTGGTGACTGCCAGTGGTAGGCAAAGGAGGACCTTAGTGTGGTCTCTCCTTGTCTACCTATCTTGAGAAAGGGTTGCTCAATGAATCTGTTTCAACAGAAACTGCTGGCCAGACAGTTCCTAAGGTACCAGTCTCTGTCTCCCAACCCCGGGGTGCAGGCCTGCAGGGCTGTTTCTGGCTTTTTACAAGGGTGCTGGGGATTTGTACTCAAGTCTTGTGGATTTGACAGCAAGTGCTCTTGTCCAAGTAACCATCTCTCAGCCCCTTTTTACTGAGTTCCTGTTCCTTACCACTCTGATAGGATGGGGATACCATGATGAAAAAGTATGTTGATTGTTCCATTGGAGCAGAAAACTTGGGGTAGTGTAAGGACATGGAAAATTTTAAAAACTTTGCAAGATCAAGAGCTGGTTAGGACACTGGGTTCGAGAAAAAAAAAAAACCAAAAGATATCCCAAGACGTTCCTAACAACTAGCCACCCGTCGACACCCAGCTTTGTGGTCTAGACAGAAGCAGACATAACTACTTGGAGGGGGGGCATGCATGAAAGCAGAAGCAGCCACTTAAACAAGGAAGGGGGTATGCAGAAGTAGTCCACACCCTTCATTTGGCAAGACCAACTCCCTTGACCTAAAATGAACCCAGCTTGTGTTTTTTGCCTATATATGTCAACCCTGGATGAGGAAGGGGAGCTCTCCCTACTGCGCTGCGTCGTATGTAATGGATGAGCTCCCAGCATGGCTAGAGAATAAACCTTGCTTTTGCATTCTGGACTTGACTGGATTCAGGTGGTGTCTCTGGGGGTCTCAACTTGGGCACAACAGTAGGAAGGAAAATCCAACTTGCCCTTTGGAAACTTGATAGTTGCTATGGAGATAGAGAGCAAGGAAGGTGCTGCAACAGAGAATAGTGAGGATGCAGGGTTTCTTAGCTAAGGCTGGAGATTGTTGTTGATCCCCAATGCCTTTCACTGGACTGACACATAATAGATACCCTTATCAAACTGATGGAGTGAATAATTCCTACTCGGTCTTTCAAAAACCACTATAAAGTTGTCCAGAGGGCTATTTGAAACTTAGCTCCACCATTTAGTGACCTAGCAATGCAGCCAATCTTCCTAAACTTCAGTTTCCTGGGGTCATGTTGAAGGTCTGTCATGTTGAATTTTAAAGTATGTGAGTTTTAAAGAATTATACAGGTGAGTAGTGGTGGCACACTCCTTTAATCCCAGAATTTAGGAAGCAGGCAGACCACCGGGTTCAAGGACAGCCTGGTCTACGTAGAAAGTTCCAAGACAACCAGCGGTACATAAAGAAACTCTGTTGAAAGAAAGAGAGAGAGAGGATTATACACAAATATAACTACTTGGTTTGTTGTTGAAACATGGTTTTGCAATGTGTTAACTGTAACAATAATAATAGCAATACAATAAAAATTGAGGTCAGCCCAGGTTGACAAATAATACTCTTTATGAACAAGATTTTACTAGGATTCAGAGTTTAGACGTGATCAGACCTCCTGGTGGGGGGGAGAACATTAGGTATGGCAGGGGTCCTAAAGAGAAGGGAGGCTTGCCTGTAAGACAGGAAAGGAGGAAGTAGAAAGATTGCTTAGTAGTTAAGAGTATCCATTGCTCCTGCAGAGGACCTGAGTTCAGTTCCTAGCGCCTATATCAGGAGACTCACAGTAAGTAGCCTGTCACTCCAGTTCAGGGCCTCTGGCCTTCATGGCACATGCATTCACTTGCATAATGCAACACAGTCACAGGCACACACATACACATAATTAAAAATAATAAAAGTAGACAGGCAGTAGTGGTGCATGCTTTAATCTCAGCACTCGAGAGATTCTGCAGAGGCAGAAGGATCTATGTGAGTTTGAGGCCAGCCTGGTCTACAGAGCAAGTTCCAGGACAGCCAGGACTGTTTCACAGAAAAACAGTTTCGAAAAACCAAAAATAAATAAATAAATAGAAATATTAAAAGACAAGACCTTGAAAGGACCCTCAATAAGAGTGAATAAAAGCCAGGTGGTGGTGCTGCACGCCTTTAATCCCAGAGCTTGGAATGCAGAGCCTGGTCTACGGAGCGATTTCCAGAAGTTTCTTCTCTTTTTTCTTTTTGGTTTCTCAAGACAGCGTTTCTCTGTAGCTTTGGCGCCAGCCCTGGAACTAGCTCTTGTAGACCAGCCTGGCCTCGAATTCACAGAGATCCACCTGCCTCTGCTTCCTGAGTGCTGGGATTAAAGGCATGTGCCACCACCGTCCTGCTGCCCGGCTTCCAGTACAGCTTTCAAAAGCTACAAATAAGTCTTGTCTTGAAAAAGTAAGGGGGAAAAACACAACCTGAGTGTGGAGGCACACGCCTTTCAAGCCTGCACCTTAGGCAGAAACAGACACATTTCTGAGTTCCAGACTGGCCAGAGTTATGTAGTGAGATTCTTGTTTGAGTTAAGGCTTTACCCCAGCCCCTGGCATCCATATACCCAAAGAGTCTGGAATGTTTGGTTGGAAGTTCCATCTCATGCCCCTCCCCTGGGAGTTGCTTCAGCCCAGACTCCACCACTGAGAAAGTCCGCCAAATAATGACCCCTCCCCAGAGGGTATTTAAACTGCTCCCCAGAGAACAAACAACAAACATATTCGGGTCTTCCCTCACCATCTCCTTTCCTCTATAAAGTGCTGGAAGGTATCCGTTAAACCTGGGCTTTTTCTAATTCTGTTTGATTTGGTCTGATTTGGATTCTTGCAGTGGCAGAGAGGCTTATTGGGTCACAAAAACTTTACAATACTGTCTCAAAAGAAAAGAAGGGGCTGGTGAGATGGCTCAGTGGTTAAGAGCACTGACTGCTCCTCCAGAGGACCCGGGGTTCAATTCCCAGCACCTACATGACAGCTGTCTGTAGCTCCAGTTCAAGAGAATCTGACATCATTGTTAGCAAGGAATAAAGTTAAAGTTAGAAAAGAAAAAAAAAAGAAAAGAGTGAAGATAAGAGGTATAGGAAGCCAGAACAAGAGAGCATGCATGATATCCTGACACGTATAGCAGATTGCTGGCCTGGTCAGTCACCTAGGTACCCTGTCCCTTAAGAGATAAACTCCACTCACTCCCAACTCTTCCCCCCCTTCACTGAGGCGAGCAGATCTCCTTTCTGCCCTCCCCTTCTGGAGAGGCAACTGCAACTTCTCCCCCCACACACCCTTCTTCCTTCTCCCCTTCCCCACCTCTCCTCTTCTCATCCCTCCATAACCCACAATCTCTTTAAAAATTAAACCTGAGTGCTGGGCGGTGGTGGCACATGCCTTTAATCCCAACTCTCGGGAGGCAGAGGGAGGCTGATCTCTGTGTGTTCAGAGCGAGTTCCATTACGGGCTTCAAAGCTATACAGAGAAAGCCTGTCTTGAAAGAAAAAAAAAAATTACGCTTACATGGTCATTCGCTGGTGTTTACTGTCTAAGTCAGAAAACAGCCATTTTTCTTCCCTGATTAGTAAATTATCTCTCTGTGAAAACAGGTGTTTGGGTGTGGTCCGTGCCTAATCCCTAGTCTGGGAGGGAACCCTCACTGGGGAGGACTTCCCTCCTCCACACACCTGTACTCAAAACTTTTGGGGAGGTTGATTTAAGGGGATCTCAAATTTACGACTAACCTGGGCTATAAAGGTTGTATCTCAAAAAGGAAAAAATTAGAATGGTAAATTCTGTATCCCCCTATTACGATGACTGCCTCCTGAGTGCTGGGATTAAAGACGTGCTCCACCGCCCCGGGTTTATAAATAAAACTTTAAGCCCGGCCTCTGGTTTTCTGTGGAATGCGAAGGTAAGACTTATTGTTGTGCAAACGGGACAGCGTGAGAATTATTTTAATGTCTAACCGAAGCTAGATCATCTAAACACTGGAACACGTTCCAGGAGGAGACTTAATGGAAAAATACCTCCCCACCCTCGGGCTGTGATTTCAGGGCTCAGACCACGCGGCAAATGGGCGGGTCGCACTAGTGCGCAGGCGGCACACGGTTCCCTGGCGCGGCCGCTCTAGGCAGTGGGGAGGTCGCCTGGGGTTGAGAGTCTGAGGCGTGAGAATGGCCTCTCCTCTATGGTCGAGGGAGCCGCGCACGGTCGGCCCGCAGTCATAGTTTTATTTCCGGAAGCGAAGCCAGCCGCTTTCTGCTTCCGCAGGGCTCCTGGCGGGTCCGGGACTACTGGCGAGGTGAGCTTCAGCACGGTGGAAATGGTGGCGGGGCGCTTGGCTTGGGATGGAACGAACCCCGCTCCCCGAGCCTCGCCGGCAGGGTGGCCTAGGCTCGCGGCCGTTTCCTCCCCCGGGCTGCCGGACTGCGGACCGCCTTCCGATGCGTCGGGGTCTGGGTCTAAGCCACTCGCCCACTCGGTGGCGGACAAGAAGGTGT